CATCAATTCACTTCACTTTATTCATATTATCATTGCATCCAAACAACATTATTTTCCATAGCTTTCTAGAGCCAATTTGTGAAGTTTGAGTTGTTCTTGAGCGTATATAGTTTACTCAACATCTACTCTTAAAGAGAGTCTTGTTCTTGAGTGTCTTAGTGTTGTATACACGTTAAGGGAAGCTTGTTTCCCTTGGTTGTACGAAGGAAAGGTATTTTTCTTCGGGTTGAAGTCTTGGAGTGCGGTATCTCCGAGCAAGTGTTGTTGAGGCTCGTGGGACTCGAGTTCTCAGGTTGTAACGGTTTGTTAAGCACCCGTAAGCTTAACGGAAGTAGTGTAGCTCGAGAGAGTCTCTCGGGAGGCTGGATTAGGCACAAGTTGTGGTGAATCAGGGTAAAATTCGGTGTGCCTCTTACTCTTCTCTTTACTTCTCTTTTATGTTTTTTTTATTCCTGCGATTTCTACGATCAAACGCTATTCACCCCTCCTCTAGCGTTGGCAACTTATTCTAACAATCTATATTTCAAATTAGGTGGTATATTATGTGTTGAAAAATAAGAAATTTCATAATAGGCGGAGAAAGTATTTATTGAGTAGGTGTTAATATTTAAATACATATAATCAAACTAACTTCATTTAAAGGGATCATAAACAAATTCATAATACTTCGAATATTATTTATTTATGAAGAGAATGATTTGATTATTATTTAAAAAAATATCAATTTTAGTCCAGTCATGTATTGATTTTTAAATTTTTTAATCTAGTTATTGAAATGCATTGTTTGTTTTTAATTTTACATTATTATTAAAATAAATAAAATCAAAACTAATTTAATTTTAAAATATTATAAACTAATACTTATATGAAAATTATTTAAATGTGAAAAAATCATCTTATTTATTAATCAATTTTTTAATAAATGAAGCGAGTAAAAAATATTATATTGTATTGGAAAGAGTATTTTCATAAAAATGAATGTTTCTCTTTAACAATTAAATTTATTCAAAGATTTTATACCGAAACATTGAATTCACATTTTTTATATGTTAAATTAAGGGACACATTAAGTGTCATAAAATATAAAATTTATTTATTGGTAAAAGAAGTATTTTATTTAAAAGGTGTCAATATTTAAATAAATACAATTAAAGGAATACCCTGTAAATGTATAATGAATAAATACAAAATTTATTTATGGGCGATGAGTGTATTATATTTATTATTATAATTGTTTATTGTAAATTTTATAATTTAAGGAATCTGAGACAAGTATTAAAAATATTTGTACATACAGTCCTGAAAAATGATATTTTATTAAAAGTAATAATTTACAAAGAAAAGAATTTAAATTCCAAATTTGAATTCATGGGTTCAAAATATGTAATTACTCCATATCATTTTTTAGAAAAGAGTAAAAAATTTGAAATAATGAATGAGGGTAAATTTGGTTAAATTGTCACATAATATGCCACATGTCAAGTTCCTAATGCGCCACATTTCAAGCTTTGAATATGTCAAATATCAAATTCTTAGAGATTGGAGTCTCAAATTTATATATAAGGAGAAGGATAAGGATAATAGTATTTTAACTCATGCCATGCACAGGTAGAACGAAATTGTTTCTAGATTATACAATATCAAATATTAAAACAACTTGATTTTATATATATATATATATATATATATATATATATATATATATATATATATATATAATCAAGTTGTTTTAATATTTGATATTGTAAAGATAAAGTTAAATATGTTTTAATATATATATATATATATATATATATATATATATATATATATATATATATAATCAAGTTGTTTTAATATTTGATATTGTAAAGATAAAGTTAAATATGTTTTAATATATATATATATATATATATATATATATATATATATATATATATATAATCAAGTTGTTTTATATATATACACTTACAAAAAAAATTTGTAAGTGTGATTTAATTATATATATATATAGCAAGTAAAGTACTCCTCCTAAGTAATGTCGTTTAAACACTTGATCATTTAAAAAATAATCTACTCATCTCTTAATATATAAAATTTTAATATAGGGATTAAGAAGTATTTTTTATTTTACATCAATATTTTAATAAATAGAATAAAATTAATTTCCCTGAATCATAACATAAAGAAATATAAAATTATTTTGGAGATAGATGAAGAGAGTAGTTTTTATATTCATTGAAAGTATTATTATAAATGAAATGAAAAAATAAAAATTTAAAATAATATTCTAATGAAAAACAAATATTTCTCTTTCTTAATAATATGTACTCAATAATTGTTAAATCATAAATAATGTTAGTGTAATATAATAAGTCACAACGTTAAATTTTGTTTTGATCATTTGTATTTCATAATATAATAAAGATAAAGTTAAATATGTTTTTATACCCTATAAAATAAGAAATTTTTTTTAGTCCCTAAAATATTTTTTTGATTAAGTCATCGCTACAAAATATTTTAATT